TAATTTCAATACTGTCTATAGTTTACGCGAGTAGTCTGTCTATAGTCTCCCCGTGACCACGGCTGCTGCAAAGCATCCGAAACGTCGGGCCGAAGTTAAAAATCATTTTCAAATAGTTTAACTAATATATCGCGTTTTAAAGCGTTAAAGTGTTTTATTTAAACATACATAATTTGTTAACTATTTATTTTATGAGAGAGGAGAAGAGACAAACACGGGGTACACATGATGGTAGGTGACATACCCCAGACAAGCGACATCTCAAAGGATGTGCTGTCGGCCTATTATGCTGAGGTGAATCTCCTCCCAAAATAAAGCAAACCTTTTTTTGTTACTTATAAAAATCCATATACAAATGTCACAATAAATCGCTCAATATAATTTGTTCTTAGTTTTACTTTTATGGGTTTGTCCTTCGTTTTTAATGAAAGAGTAGGACAGACATACATGGGGTTCTCTAGATCATAGATGGTAGGTGAAATATTTTTCATCAGTTAACGGTGTTTCGACCCGCGTGGATTATCGTTGTCCATACGCATTTGATATCCAGATTGCGAGAAGTCCAGCATCTTTGGTTATGTTGTCCCGTTGACCCGAAGCGTCGGGCGTTAAAATAAATTGTATATAAGTAAACTAATATATTTCACGTTTGAAACCGTTGGAAGTGTTTTATTTAAATGTGTACTCGCGTAAACTACAGGCAAATCTTGTATTTCGTTTGTAATTATGACATGCTCATACTTTCGGTTCTGTTTATTTCAATTGTCTAAGATGACACACACGCAAAATTGTCACAATTAACGGCACTTATCTTTTGTTGTGCGTATTAGCACATATGCACGATATCATTGTCTTCGTTGTGAATAGCTATTCCACGCTATGCTGACCTATTACGCTGTCTCAAATTGTGACTACTTAAGACATATGTGCGGTCGGTTTTTAATTTTATTCATGACTAGCTGTGTCGACGACTTCGTCCGCGAGGATTGTTATTTTGGGCACCAAAATTCGTTTTTACAAACCCCTTCATAAGACCCCTTAAGATATAGACATATAATTTCGCGGACATTTTTTTTGATCATTTAAAGAAGAATCATTCTAGCATAGGGTACATATTTACTGTTTATCTTGAACAGTTTTTGCAGCGTACGCATCTGAAACCCACAAAGATAATTTTCTCCGTTTATTTTTTTACATCTCCCGCTGTTTCTTCGCACCTATTAATCACAGCGCAATGTTTTAGCCTCCTCGATACAAGTTCTAATCAACACAAAAATAATATTCAAATTCGAACCAGTAGTTCCCGAGATTAGCGCGTTCAAACATACAAACTCTTCAGCTTTATATATTAGTATAGATAGATAGTGCAGGACAAACAAGCATTAGTTACACTTGATGGTAAGATTCTAATGATTGGTTTTGACGCGCTGGTATAATGGTAGCAATTTAAGGTGGATAACATTCGTGGATTCGATCCCCACCGGGGCCAACATGTTCTAATTTTAATCTATGTATTTTAAATATTTCTGTAACATGTCAGACTTCGTCGGGAAATCTGGAAATCTTCGTATCGAAATTTTGTCGGGGTCACGAACCGTCAACAGAGAAAAAAGCCGCGATGTTAATCGCGTTTTGGTGGATTACCGAATACCAAACAGCAAAAGGGGATTTTGTTTAGATGTTTTATGGCTGGGATATTTCACCTACCATCGAGTGAAAACTTTAGACTGCATATTATCGTAATTATCTTTAACTGAGACTCACATTATGAAAATTGCATCAACATTAAAACATTATCCATTTCACTGCAGTTCCACTCGCAGATAATATTAAACTTTGTTTTGTCTGTGCTCTAATGTTACCCCTACATACAAAGGCTGAAACATTATGATGATAATTCACTCGCCATTCATTTGTTTCAGGACTGACACTTGAATTTTTACATTTTATGAAATTTATTTGTTTGAATGCGCTGATATTTGTCATTTGTATGATAGACGAGAACAGTAAAGCAGAGACTTCACTTCATGGAAGATGACGTAATACCCCAGCTATCCACTAATCTATCCGACTGAAACCGAACGTGATTATACTTCACAGCTTTTTCATCTGAGGGCAAAGACGTGACCCGAACGAAATTTTCGATATCCCTACCACCCACTCAATAGCCAGAGTTTCCAGACGCAGTCCAACTTGTTTCAGATAATATACCTAAATTTTTGGACCCGGCGGAGCTCGAACCCACGACCCGTTGATATTTAGGCATACATTGCTACCATTAGCCCAACAAGCTCGTCAAATAATTAATGACTCATGTCTTGTGAATAAGGATTATTTTAAAATAATTTGCCTGCAACTTAACAGCTTTTTCATCTGTGGTGGTAGGTAGATATATGAGCAGGACGGAAGCTTCAATATTTCTATAACTGTTGTTGTATAGCCAACACAATAATAATTTTTCATTTCGAACTAGCAGTTCCTGAGATTATCGCGTTCAAACAAACAAACTCATTAGCTTTATCATATTAATATAGATACTAAGAGCTATATTTCTTTTTATTTAGTTCTATCGTGTTGAATAACAATATTTATGATTAAGAGGTCAGGGCGTGACGAAAAGACCGACATCCAACCTTCTAAAACGGAATGTTAATGGTTCGAAACAAATGAAAGCTTTTGTTCGATCATCCAATGGCGAGATTGTTAATCTTTATAGTTTAATACTGTGCCAGTTTAATTAAACTTAAAACATGACCTAAATTATTATTTCATCTACAATCTTAAATAACTTTTTTAGATTATATTTCGATTCAAACGAATTGGTTTTAAGAGCAGACAAAATATAATTTGCAAGAAAATTTGGTTAAGTTAAGTAAAAGTATCCTATCTCTAATGTCAAATCTGAAAATTGATACCTTTTAAAGGTCATTGTTTAAAACTGTTAAACCTTCAATGACCGAAATTAAATACCTATTCAATGTTTAAAGTAAGTACTAACACTTGTTTATAATGTTACAAATATAAAGCAATTTATAATAGTGACAACTCGATGTATATGTTTCATCGACAAGTCGACACAACACTATGACCACCCAACACCCACGCGAACTTTTGACACAAAAAGTATCGAAGCTTTTCAAGCCAAAATTCAAAAGTTCAGCCATTTCAATTATAGGCATATCAAGATTTAAGTATACAGTTTTATATAACGATCATAAATATTTACCGTAAAACAAGCTTTCAAAAATTCACTTCAACATTTTGCACATCAACATTCGAAGTCATAACTTAGACGAAAGTTTAAACACCACCATGTTGTTTAAGCTTAACTTTTAGACACTTTGATAAAACTTTTAACAAGTGACAAAACTTTTGTGTTAAGTTGGAAACAAGCGGACGATAGTTCTGTAGCGCGTCGCATTTTAACTGAATAAGGAGTCGAGATATTTTTACCTGCCAGTGAAAAAAAATGTGCACGACGTTGTTTCTCCCAACGACCTTCAATTTTCAACCTAAACACATTACAATAAGATTTACTTTCGTTTGCACTATTGTAATTGCATTAGTGTTGTCAAAGCTTACATAATATAAATGGAAAGTGAATCTTATTACAAAACAATAGGGTTTAAATTACCTTCTTAATTGATGAGAGCTTTACATGAATATGCGTTTGTATGTATGTAGTGGGCAGTTGTTCGGAATCAAAGATTTCCAAACTTTTATAGATTAACTACTCGAAGAGAATCGCTGGATTAATGCGACAGGTTTATAAATATTTAGTTAGGCGAGATTTATTGTTTTTAATTTAGACTTTTATCGCCCATCGTATTTTATTATGTCATTTAGGTAAGTTCCTTTTTATGAAGTGCACATTCATTTACAATGAAGAGACATAAAATTTATTAGTATTAATATTAAAATTATATATTTTTATTTACTTGGTAAATGTTCTAATTTAGCAACGCATAGAATAAAACAAGACACTTACATTGTAATAACATACTTTTACTGGATTTTTTTGCAGAATATAGTATGGGTAATAATCCGCTAGGGGGCGACGTTTTGAATAATTTGCAGCAACTACAGTTTCGCAGGAATCCAGTTTCGCAATTAAAAATAAATTTTCTAGCTATATGTCGCATTTTATACTCATATGATACAATATATCATAACGCGTATTATACGCCTCAACTTAAGATACGAAAAACATTCGTCATCTACCCGTTTAAAATAAACACATAAATGTAAATCTATAAAATTCAGTCAACCACAGCATTTATATTCTTTTTATTGTAGTTTTAACTTTTATATCGCACCTTTAAACCATACTGTACACCTTGAAAGAAAGTTATAAAGACAGTAATAAACCCGTTTGAGAAACACTGGCCAGGACCCGTAGACCCAAACAGGTTTTCTCGGTGAAATAATAAAATAACAGGCCCCAATATGAATTAAATCATTTCGGCATTTTGTCTAGTTGTATGCCGAAATCTCTCACCGTTACTGGTTACTTAATACTAGGCTATTTGTGCGGCTTTGCTTGTATTATTAAGACTATTTAATTACTTTTGTTTTATTGAACATTGGTAAATTCATGTATGCCATATGATAATGTATAAACTTAGCATATAGGCAAATAATTGTAGAAATATACCTGCCTACGCTCGTATATTTTATCATTCCATTCATCCCATTTTAATAAATAATTATTTTTATGTTCTTGACTGTTAAAAACTTGACACAGACAAATAAGAGATGTAATTTATAAATAGTAAATAATTCCAACATTAGCAAGCATCGTACTTTATTTTTTATTCAAAGGACTGACTATTACTAATCTTATTAATAAATAAAACAAAAAAATTAAAACAGTTTATTTAACTTTCTACTTAAACTATTCCATTTAAACAAACTTTCTTGAATTATATGAAGGGTTACCGGTCTAATTTTATATAGCTTTTTCTATTAATTTTTATCAAACTTTTTCTGGTAATAGTTCTCTAACTGCTTCTGGGTTTTGGTTGCCAAGGTTCTACCGTTGGTCTGGTTGTGCTGTAGGGGGTATATTGACCGGTGGTACCAGATAGATTTTCGTTGCCGTCAAGCATCCATTTGTACTTAGGTCTACTTGGGTCCTGAAAATAAAATTGAAGTGAGTAAGATTGTCATTGTTCTTTACTTGATGGAATCGAAGAATAGACTGGAAAATAATGTATATTAATGTAATAATAATATAAAATTATCCATACATGTCATGGAATCAAAAGTATGAAAATCTGCCTTATATCAACAAAAAGTTAGAATTAAAAAGCCTGAAATATATGTTAAGTTCATTTAGCTTTAGCTTTCTAAAATGCAATATTGCATTAGTATTACAGATGCCCTTCTTCCATTTTGTAATCTGGAGATACTTTTAAGAAGGCTTACCAGGTGGGGGGGCAGATCCGTCTTATAATGAAGCCAGCCAAACCATTCAGCGGGGACCTAAAATCATTTTATGAAAAAAAAAACACATTTTTTTTGGAGAGTTTGCTCGAAAGAATGAAACTTTGAATCTTATTATAATTTAGATGCAGACATAATCAATGGTGGCAAGAACGTATACCAGCAACAGTAAATAAATACAATTCACTAACTTATTAACTATATAATGATCACTACTAACACTAAAAGAGAAAAAACTGTGTTACAAACAGAACGGAATTTAACAATTTAAGTGGAGTGCAACAAAAGTATAAATTCACAATAAAAACTCATAATTTCTCATATACAAGTTGTATAGATAGAGAAAGAGAAGAATGAGACTAATATGGAACTGCCTATGTTTTACAGCTTGCTTTTAATATATAGCTTATCAGGTAAAAGATAGTAAACTATACATAGTATGTATAGTTTACTATCTTTTTCAACTCCGAAATATACACAATCAAAATACCTACAAAACACTATTGTAAATAAAATAACTTTTAATCGCTCACCTGGCTTCCATCGTAATTCATATTATATTTGTCAGAGTACTCCACCCATCGGTTTCTACCATAGAAGAAGCGAGGGTTTTCAAAGTATTTGTTTCCAAATTTATCTTCCCCAACTAAAGTGCCATCTTTAAGTTCATCTTGTCTGGGAAAAAAGTGTTACTAACTATACTACTTAAATAAATCTACTACTAATCTATGTGCAAATCTTCTTAGAGCATTACTACGGACATAGCTTTTCTTTACTGTTGTTTATATGCCACATAAGAAATTTTTACACGACCTAACTGAATTCATAAATTGTGTAAGGCTTTCACATCGTATCCATCCATTGGCCATCATTCAGTATATCATTGTCTTTCGGCCTGTTCGGCAGACGTGAGTGAGCAGAGGTTCTCGGAGTTAACATCTCAATTAACAACAGCCCAAAAGACAATGATATGCTAACTGAATTAATAAATAATAAATACAGTTTGATTATACTGGTAACATGTTATTAATCAGACTGTAATTCTTAAGTGCATCCAGGCAAACATATTATTTAAAGCCATTACATTAGGGCCTAAGACGCAAGTCAAAAGAACATAGCATGTACTGAGGTTGTTGTTGAAATAATTTTATAGGAAAACAATAACCTTAAAATTACATAATATTATATACACAATCTATACCTGTACAGTTTGTACAAGGATCCTCTGATTCCACCATTTTGCTTTATAATATTAAAGAATGTGGCGACCTTATCCAGGGCCAAAAACTTGGTGATATTACTCATTTTCTCCTATTAATGATGAATATTGTGTAGAAAATATTTCACACAAAATAAAATAACAATCAGCTGGTTGTCACTTATATTTTTCAAATATAATGTCAAAATGGAATTCAAGCCACTGACATAAGCCGAACTGTCAAATTCATCTGCGTTATATGGATATAGTGCATGTTTACGCGTATAGGTTAGGTTAGAAAATACTTAGCCAACATTATTAGTTTTACCAATTATGGAAAATTAAACTAAATTTACAATGGATTTTGCTCGTAAACAACTACAAAAGTACGGCTGGACTGACGGTAGGTGTTTCAGACACATTGAAATGTTTGTTTACGTATTTTATTTCTAACCTTCTGGTTTTTTAGGCAAGGGTTTAGGAAAGTATGAAAATGGGATATCAGAGGCGTTGAAACCCAAATTGAAACGCAGTGTTACTGGCGTCGGACATGACGCAGCGGCAGAATTCACTGAGCACTGGTGGACGAAGTTGTATAATAATGCAGCAAGTAATGTTGAGGTAACATCTTTTCTCTTCCCTTATAGACAGTAGACACTATCAAACTCTCAAAAAAATTTCAACTCTGTCAGTAAAGAGTAACAATGTTCTATTATTAATTTAAACTCTCATTACATTACAGGTTAAAGAAAAAAATGGTCAAACAAAGAAGATCAAAACAAAAGACGATGAATTTGAAATAACTAATTCATCTTGGTCCTACAAAAAGAAAAATAAATCAAAGTCAAAGGAGGAATATACAAACTTCTTTGTTAAAACTTCTATCCTAACCAGTGGTGGAGTTAAAACTGAGAATTTAGATAACTCAGATAATGAAATTGATTGTGAAAATAAAGGTATTGTTAAATTGACAGATGAAGAATTGTTTGTGGCTTGTGAAGGACGGACAGCACACAAGTACGTTACTTAATGTTTATTTAAAAGTTAAAATTATAAAATGTTTCTATAAAATTAGTGGTATCAAGTAAAATTAAAAATTCCATTTAAAAATTGCAATAATGATTAAAGTTCAGAACATGTTAAATATATAATATATTGGTTTCTAGGGGTGCCCGACATGGTTTAAAAGCTTTAGGTAAGTTGGCCAGAATTGAAAAGCAGGAGCAAATGTTGCTACTACAGTCAAAATATGAAGGATATTCTCACGCAAAAAAGGATTGTAAACTTATTGAAAACACAAGCCTTTTAAGTGACAGTGAAGACAAAAACCCAAAAAGAAAGAAAAAGAAAAAGCGTTGTTCTCTTAGTGACATAGAATTTAAAGCCACAGATAATGAAATTAAAAATAATGCTGATATTGAAAATGATAAGGAAGAAAAGAAGGATAGGAATACTACTGGATGTAATGAGAAATTGAATTGTTCTACAGACACAGATTTAATCAAATTAAAGAAATCCAAATATAAAAAAGTTGATACAAATGATTTTGCTGAAATTGAAGTGGATATCAGTAATATGGACCTTAGGAAATGTAATGTAAAAAACAAGGATAATGCAGATATTGAAAATGTGATAGATACAAGCAAAACAAAAAAGAGAAAAAATTATATTGCTGAAAATAACAGTGTACAAAATGAAGACTTGGCTAGGAAAAGTAGAAAAAAGAAAAAAGGCAAATAGCAGCAAGAAACTTTTTTTCATGTTTTCTTGTCTTTGTTGCCTTTAAATACAACTTTTCTTAATTAAAATGCATTTTTAATATAACCTTATGATTATAAATTCTCAAGTGTCTTATATATTTCATGTAAAATTGTTTATTCTATCCTTGCTATCTAAGCAATTAATTGTATGTAACTTTGAAACTAAAAGTATTCTTTGCAACTTCTGTGTTATAATATTATTTTGTGTGTGTTATTATGGTATGTTTGTTTATTTTGATAAAAAATCTTTATTTGAGAGAATACTGAAAATTGTATAAAATAAAACAGACAGTTTTATTACAAATACAAAGGTTTATTTAGTTTCATTCAGTTATGAAAAATTTATTCAAGGTATATATTTAGTACTGAATGGGAAATAATAATATTCACTATGGTAGAGATCTTAACAGCTAAAGGGTAAAATCAAACTCAGTATTTAGTTATAGTACTTTTTATTAACATGTAAAAATACAAAAACAATTTTGTTATAATTTCCCTACATATAATAATTTGATAACTTAAATATCACCACAAATGAATTCATACTAAAAGAGCATAATTAGGAATGTATTTGGGTTTATTATACACTTTTAATGTGCCACTATTTGTCCTACTATGGTGTGTACTAAAAACTGTTACTATTACAAATCTATATTACTTTTTCAGTAATTCCTTTAAATCCTCTAGCGTAGCCTCATTGTCGCTGTAAAAAAATACGAAAATCAAAAATCCTTACATCAATGATGGAAGTTGTACATATATTAATTACATATGTATATAAATAGCAATCTCCTGTTTAAAAAAAAAACCTTTAACATCTAAGTTTAGGTAAACACTTTTATCAGTTTAAAAGACAAAATTGTTCTGTCAGCTTTTCTAAGACTGCATTTGCAGCAACTTATACAAAGCATATGAAATGGAGAGTTATTGTTGAAATATCTTAACCAATATATTTCATGTTTTAAACCGTTAACATGCTGTATTAGGAGATATATATTTTATATCACAGAACTGTTAATGGCAATAATCACAAACTTCATAAATATTTAGCAATAAGTTATTATTTTTTAAGTTCAGCATAATAGTCATAGTTGGGATCACGTTTTGACCTTTCTAAATACTTAAGTCCATGAGGACCATTGGATGAGTAGCTTTCATAGAGCTTCATCTCCAACAGATCTGGTTTGAAATTCTTCAGGAAATACAACCAGCATTTCATGGTTTCCTCCTTAGTTGAGTTACTGAAATAAATTTTAAATTATTATTAAATTTAGTAATTCTTAGTAAAGGATAGAATAGTTCTCAATTTATCTCCTCCTGAAGCTAATAATACATATAACAAAAATTTGTAAAGGATTCATCATTTTAAACACCATTTAAACAGTCCATTACTAGTGAATATTTTTAGTAACTGAAATATGTGTGTAGCCTTTTTCACTGGTAAGATTTTGATAACTTATAACACAAGCAGATAGTTTAATATTACCTGATTACTTCGGTATGTATATGGTAATAATACATTGAACACAAGAGATTCTCAATATGAATCACAAATTGCAAAATGTGATCAGTGAATAGACACAGCTATAATATGTTTCTTCCGTGACTAGCATGGGGGATTGAAATTTTACTTAAATTATATTGAGAAAAATGATTTATAATAAATATAATAAAATACTTACGGTGTCTTTACAATAATTTCTTCTATTTCTCTTATGTACCATTTTGGATAATCCTCTAATATGTCAAGATTAGCAAGCATCTTGTCGTCTACAGAATATATTTCACCTGAAATAAAAAACAATATTGAGGGATAATGTACTACTTAATAGTTTGTAATAAATAAACCCTAAACCACTAAAGCAATAGTATATTTTAAGATTTAGATGCAAAAGTATATGGCACAGAAACACCTTGGCAAATTTTTACATAAATTTACCTTTGATCTGGTGGCCATTCCCAGGACTGTACAACACGAATGGAATATTATACTTCGTAGCTATAACAAGAGGATATTTTTTCTTCGTCATGCCCTCCGATACGAATTTTCCACATCCGTTATCAGGGTTGGTAAGCCAATAGTGATTTGGTTCATTTCGCTTTAAAGTTCCGTAAACGAAAACGTAGTGGGACATCTGTAATCAAATTTTACTGTGAAATAATTATATGTATAACACGTAGATGTCTCGTTGTAAAGTATAATAATACGGTAAACAGTGTGGTTTTTACCCTTTTACAGATATGCCTGTAGTGGTCGATGGTATTCAATAAACTAAAATGTAATATTCTAATCATTTACATGTTATAATTTAATTTATAGAGATTTTAAAAAATCCGCTGAAAAGACAATATGTATTTAGCTGGCAATGTCAAAATTGCCATATCATTATAATATTATTTGACAGTTTAATATATTTAGAAGTACTTGACAGTGACATTGATTGAACTTAAGGACTGTAAACTGACGCAACAATTTGAAGGATCAATGATTTCTATTTTTATTTTTATTCCAATCAGTTGATTTTTTTGCGTCGCCGTATTATGGTGTATACTTAGTAACGACGAATTGTTACGTTTTCTTTCATTATTTTATGAAAAGAAGAGAACTATGTTTTTCAAGCAACTTTAGTGGCAATTGGCAGTTATATATCCTTACCCATTGTTTATTGTGATTCGTGTTGTGTTAAAACTATATAAATGAAAATGAGGCTGGCAGGCACAATATTCAGCAATGTTACGAAAATGCTGGATTTTTATTCGCAATTTAATCCATCCCCGCTCTCAATTAAGCAGTTTATAGACTTTGGTAAGTCGAAAAACATTTAACATGTTGATATATTCTTCCTTTTAAAGTTGTTATTGTATATAAGGGAATACGACGTTTTCATTCATTATTGTTGAAGCTTATATTTAGAAATAATAACTCCATTATAAGAATTAATTCGACTGATTATGAATTAATTTATGTTGTTATGAAAAGTGGTTTTCCAAAAAGGGTACTGGTTAGGATACAAACGTTTCTATCCAAGCTATCAAGGTCACAGTAGTCTTAATTATGTATTTGTCTGTTACATGTTCCTACTATGTAACATAATAAGTAATATCTCTTTCGTTAATTTCTTGGTAATTATAAAGCTTTTCAAATGATATAATTAAAAATTATATTCAGTTATTAAATTGCATAGTTTAAATTTTAGAAGCTACTTAAAAAACTCTATTAAAATATTATTATCTGTTATGAATGTATTGTAATTTATACAGATAACAAAACTCAGTCAAGGTTTTGTAGCAAATTTATTTTTGCTGTTGTTTCCTTGAAAATGCTTCAACAGTGATTTTACGTCCTCACAAAATTTTAAGATTTTAATATCTTAAATTGGTTGTGTATGCAAGTGGAATGCATAAAATAAAACAATTTTAACAGATCTAAACCCAAATTTACTTATAATATATTTTAATTTTTTTTGACTATGACTACTGTTTACCATGAGGCTATGGCCACTGTAGAGCATGCAAAACGTAAGTTTTATTTAAAAATAAAATAAATAATATACCTAGGTGGCACAAGAGAAATAACAATTCATCTTGATTGAATAATGCAAATTAGTATTTGAACTTATTTGCGAAACCCGGGACCTCTGACACTTAACGCAATGCTAGGCAATACGTTTAATTATTTGGCTACAAAGGTAATTAAAGTATAAATGTATTAATTTTCTCTTTTTGTTATTGGCAAGCAATAGTTTTATGTGATCATAGTTTAAGCAGTGTGTGCCTTAATAAGAATCAGAATTGTCTTTTTCTCTTCCTCCGAACTGCTTTTGTTTGCAGTGATATTTTCCATTTTAATGAATATATATTATTATTCCTTAAGTTTCTGTTAAATCGTCTTGTTAATTTACCTACTTAAAGTCGAAAATAATTGTGGTTGTATTTATCAATAAATTTATAAAAAAACCTCAGTCATATTTAACTATTTCTATGTAACACAAATGCCACTTCCTGTGTGTATCTGTGTCCATTTTATAGACTAACTTCCTCCATTCTGACCTAAAAGTATTTCCTTATTTCCCTGGGATTCAAACCATGTGGGCTTTAATATGGACTTTTAACTATTGAGATAAAAGGTACACATTTTAAGTAATAATATATATTTATAGTCAATAAAGTGCACTTATTGTTTTCAATTGATCGATCACATGATGTCTGTCATACAAACAATTGCTTATAGCAAACTTGTTATCTTATAGACCAAAGAGCAAAATGAATCAATTGCTGTGTATCAAATTGTCGCGTCAAGCTATTAATGTCTCACTAGAGCCTCATAGCCTCTTTTCTAGTGCATAAACCCACCACACTGCTTCGGTGCAGATTGGTGGGCTTATCAAATAGGTAATCTTCAGACATTTTTATGTGTGCATGCAAAAATTATCTCTCAAGGTTATATTTAATATCCGTTGCATAATTAACTTTGTCTTTATGAGCAAAATCTTATTTTTGTGAGCAAAAACATAATTTTAATTATTGTATATTATCTAAGATGTGTGGATTACACATAGTGTGCATATACGCGGGAGTGATGTCTTTAGTTAACGCGAGGAGTACACTTTTAAGAATGTTTTGAAACGAGAAATTATGGTGGCCTGATTTTTTGGATGCTTTATGAGTTTAATGGATGGTCACCCTACACTAATTATTAATTGCCCTATACTGCATGAAAAAAATTGTTAGTTGTACCAACAGATATTAAATTTTTAATGCTAGGGTCGAATCGAACCTAGTACATTACGCATTGTTTTACAATAAATGCGGAGCTATATAAATTAAAAATCGATTCTAATTGAAAAGAAAAAAAACTAAACGAACATGAATATAATCCATTTTTATTTGTATTATGTGTAGTGCCGTAACAGTAACACATGAATAATATTAAAGTTTTCAAATGCAGAACTTCTTTCTCTTGGACAGGTTTTCACCGCATTTTGACACATACAAAAAAATCGGAACTTGGCTTGGTGGTTTGATCCCCCACTGGGTCCAACATGATTCAAATAAATTTATTAATTATTTTTTCTGAAATGTGTTAGACTTAGTTGGGATAGGAAATGTGTGGTAGGAATAATCGAAAATCCAAAACGCACCACCGTCGACAGATGAAAAAGCCGTGAAATTAAATATGCATTTCTTGTCTTCATAAATGTATCTATTTATGGCAACATTATTCACACAGTTAACATAATCCGCTACAATGATAGGATAATAGGATTTAGTGTTGCAATGTAAACACTGATAAACGGTGGCGTGCAAGAAGGCCAAACAACTGGTCAGGGTCTGGTAATTTACTAGTAAAAGCTAGAAAAACTGAATCTCTAATAATTCTTTTTATTGTCGAAGAATAAATTATTACATTTTAAGCAATATTGTTTTCTGTTTCTGTAATACATTTCCTGTGCGTCGCACGATACTTGTAGATGGTAAGAAAGAAATTAGCATATTGCGTTTTCGATTTGTGGAAAATATTCTTGATGTCCAATGCCATGGTCGGCAATAGATCCAATAGGTCGATATCGCATCGTTGGCTGTCTTTCTGTCTGTGTGTTCTGTGTATTTATTTGTAATAACATTTCTGGTGCTTATACATAATTTTATTTGAGTTATAAACGCCCTTCTTTCTTGCAATTCCTTGAGAGTGAGTAGATACTTGATCTTATGAAATTCATATTAATTCTCTATCATTTTTTTATGCTTATACTTTTTAATACATTTAGTTACTTTATGTTTATTGAAATGGAGGTATTATAATAAATTAAGTATAAGCTTTTAGCAATAACTATATTTTTTACATAATGTTCGTAACATAACTCTTTGTAAAGATATTCCTAAAATGCATTTTTATTAAAAAGGCTTTAACCTTTGTACGTACCAAATTAAACTTCTCTGTAGTGTAAACATTATTTTAAAATAGGGTAGTACAGTTCGCAATTTAGAATGGCGAAAACGCCTTATCAATAGCTAAGTAGGTCACAGACGTCACAGCACAACAGACATTAGTGAACGATAAACATTATTCTCTAACTAAACGACATTACGATAATGGGGCGTAATTAAAAAGGGCATTATGTTCATTCATTCATTCATCCGGTCACTAACTGTGCTGTAAAGCATAGCATTATTCTTTAAATCGGGTTTTGACTTCACCAATTCAAACAATTATGTCGTTTGTCGTACGTGTTTTTCTTTTTAATGTTGGGCCTTTAATAATAACCGTGTTTACGGCTAGACCAAGGAAGCCCCCCGGCAGGGAGAGGGGGGTGCTTCGGGTAGCGGGTGCAATGTGGGTAGAAGGTGAACGGATGCTCATCCGAATGAGAGGTACGAGGAACAATGCGGTGCAGGTCATCTCGAGGACGATCGGCGTCTGCGCCGGCAAATCGCGTGGATCTTTCTTTCTTTTGTTTTTGTTAGGTACGTTTCGCGGTCTCCACAGCGACTGTTTCGGTCCAGCAAATGCTACTATGATGATATGACTTCACTTTAGGTTGGTGGAAGTTTCCTAAATCCCACTGGAATATAATAGTAACTAAGTTCGCAAACCCGTCCTCCTATGAAGTAGGAGACGCTTTTGCGAACCTTGCCCACCACTAAAGCGAGGAGCTGAAACAAAAATACCTAGTTCGAGTATGTATAGTCTACGAGTCACCGGGTTATTAGGGATAAGGTACCGGATTCTTGAGTTTTTGTTTGTGTTTCCTTGTTTCGTAAAGGACATTGTGAAACAAACAAAGCTCTATTAATTCTGTTCGGTGAATAGACTATAGCAGTTACGAGTACAATACTATGTAAGCACACAGTATTTACTAATAAAACAAACAATATTAGCAGTCGAAAGAGATGATTATATTCGTTAGTAGTGTAGTTTACATGAGTAACACACATTTAAATAAAAGACTCAACGGTTTACAACGCGACGTATGTACCCCGGGACCACGGCTGTTGCAAAGCATCCGAAACGTCGGGTCGTAGTTAAGTTAAGTTGAAATAATTATAACGCTCAAATTAAAAATACGTTTTAAACGCAAAATGTATAAGTAAGGTAACTAATTAGCAATATTAAAATAAGCCTAGGTTTCTTTAATCCTTTTTTTATTGTATGGTCCAAATCAAGGGCATCGTATAGCTTAGACAAATAAGTAAATGGGACTATTTTAAACATTTTGTTTTAACAAGTTGAATAAGCCAGTTATATTATAATGAAAAAGACGTCTCGTTTTAACTTACCTGAAGTTAAAACTGGC